CGATTATCTTCTGTGTCTGTGTTAATTGGTTTCCCTTTTCTTTGTTGAAGAGGGTCTGTGCAATCCTTCTGCCTAGTCCGCCATCTTGCCAGAACTTGCAGCTATCAGTTTTAGAGCAAGAACTTTTAAAGACCCGAATCCATCAGAACAACCTGGCACCTCTAAGTTGCCTGATGTTTAGCAGCATTTTCATACTCCACAGATGCAGAGAGACGCAAGTGCTTCGTGCCCAGGACAATGTGGAAATGCCACGTGGTCAAGCACTGCAGATGTGTCAAAGGACATAAGGAAAAAGGATGGAATGAGCTGTCATTCGGGCATCAGAACCTCAGGGAGAGTTGTAAATGTTTCAGCAATAGAGATGATGCTAGCAAAGAATTTTCAGAAACAAGGGAAAAAGTTTAAAATGAACATGAGGAAAAATATAATCTTCAGAAGCATACAAAAAGCTGGAAAAGCATGCTTAGCTATCTAAGATTTTAGAGGTTACATGGAGTATAATTTACAGACTGAAATGGGGTCATCTTAAGATCTGCAAGATGTCATTCAGAGTTATTTCCTTGCTGCTCCAGGAAAGAGTCACATAAAATTAGAAAACAAGGGCTGTATTTTTGTTTATGCCTCCTTTTATCATTTTTCCCAATGACATGCTGACAACATGAGTAATAGGGCCTGTGAAGTCTATTAATGTCAGTGCTTTTGAAAATAATTATAAACCAAATAGCTTTGTTGTTGTTAGGTGCCACAGAGTTGGCTGACTCATAGCGACCCTACACACAACAGAAGTAAACGCTGCCTGGTCCCACGCCCTCCTCACGATCCTTGCTGTACTTGAGCCCACTGTTGCAGCCACTGTGTCAAATCATCTCATTGAGGGTCTTCCCCTGACCTTCCACTTTACCAAGCAAGATGTCCTTCTCCAGGGACTGGTTCCTTCTGACATGACCAAGTAGGTGAGACAGTCTGGCCATTCTCGCTTCCAAGGAGCATTCTGGCTGTACTTCTTCAGGACAGATTCGTTCCTTCTTCTGGCAGTCCATAGTATTTTCAATACTTTTTGCTCACAAAATTCAAAGGCATCAACCAACTTCAGAGGCCTTTAAAAAAGGGTCCAAGATGTGCACTGTAAGGCACACTTCATGCTTGAAGGACCCAGACAATGGCCTCGGAGGGCATTCCCAGGCTGCACGTGTGTGCCCAGAACAGTCTGTTCGTGCAAGGCAATAAAAACAACTGTTTACTTCAGCTTCATTTGAACATTTATTTTTAAGTAGCTCCCCACAAAATAGGAAAATAACTTCCTTAGAACAAGTTCCTTATAGTAACCATTACTTTCTATGGTCATGTGTAGGGCAAGTTCACTAGAGAAGCTACATAAAGGAAAAGTTTATTAAATCAGAAAACTCCAAGGCATAAGCCATTCCTTTCCTTATTTCTGCCTCATCTGCTTCCCTCTCAAGTTCCCAGTAACTTTCAAAGTATCTAATAAACCAAATTTTATGTATTTAATGATGAATGCATTTCCTGCACTGATATCAGTTCGTTTTGGGAGGGGACCCTGCTTGGCATTAGGTTTGTGTGAGGTGTTGTTAGGTAAGCACCAGCCAGTGAGCCTATGCGGACACTCTGATCTTGCCTCATCTCCAGAAAATCCAGCTGCCTGCCAGAGCCCATTTCCCATCATGAGGTACCGCCCAGTGTTTGCAGGTGGGCTTGCAGGTGGGCAATCTACTTCTTTAAAGCCACCTGTGTACAGGTGGCTGATCCAGAATGAAGGCGTGAGTAATCTATAATGATCACACTAGAGTTCCTAATTTACTCATGGATAACTTTCAACCTCTGCCATCAAAAAACACACTTATGTTCCTGAGTGCTCAGTGTAAGGAAACATACTGCTGTTTCACGTCTCCTACCATTTTCCAAGGAAGTCTACTCCTGCCCAGACTTTCTAAATGGCAGCATCCAGAAGATGCCTCCATGAGGGTTCTGATTCTCAGTGGAAGGATACTTGTGAGCAAAGAGTATTTTTAGGCTGAGTCTCTAATGGCAACCTGGGAGAAAATCAGAAAAAAGCCACACTGCTCAACAAGAATCAAGTACAAACAGATTTTCTTAAGCTATAAAACATTAAGCATGAAATAGAAATATATCGTAACTTTATTAGATTTTTCTATTTTACTGGCTGTTCAGACTCAACCAAGACCTCAGTAACCTGTAACTGCAGGCTTTATCATCTTCAAGGTGTCACAGTATGTAACATGAAATCTGATAAGCTGACACAAGACCAGTCAACCTAACATAGACCATTAATGTCACAGCTGTGGTCATTTATGGCTTTTAAAACAGTTCAATCATAAGATGTAAATATACTTGCATAATGTGGGTTCTCTGCTGCTGCTGCTGCACAAGGCAGGACTCTGCCAGGCCGGGTCTAAGGAATGACAGAGACCAGCAGATTCCATTCTGCAGGTAAGCCAACTCTGCCTTGTATTTAGAAGGAGAAAAGGTAGCAAGCCTATGAACAGTAAGTTTCCCTCTCAGGCTCCTATTCCTAACACCTCCACAGCCACTGCCTCCTCAATCTGTCCAATTATCCAAACATTGAATATCCTGATCCCCATCTTACTCTCCAAGTGAGAGTGGTACTGAGAGTTTTCAGTGTGGAGGGATGGGTGGATGACTGGACAAACTGACAAAGGAAAGAAATATTCCAGAGTTTTCTTATTTAATAGGATGTCCTTCATGACACCTCATGGGACGTAAACAGTTTGGTGTAAGGAAAGTAATTCTGACAAAAAAAACTAGTATAACTAAGTAAAGACAGCTTCTTGACCCATCCCCAACCCCTAAGAGATTTTCCTAAAAATCTATGGATAACCAAAGAGGAGGCATGTTTGTCCCTTTCCAAGGGGTGCAATGTGACTCCTCTAAGGTTATTTACAACACTGGCTCCAGAAAGCAGCAGCCCCCTAGCAACCATTTGGAATGGGTAGTTACAGCTGTACACTTTGGAAATGGTCAGGCCTTGAGTCTGGTGTCTGACAAGCGTTTCAGTCCATTTCTGGGGAGGGTCAGTGTCTGGCAGCCCCGGTCCAGGTTCTATCCTTTGATAACAGCAATTGGCCTCAGTTTGATGGCCTTCTTGCTGATTCCAGCATCGTGGCAGGTGTTCACCACATCTGTCACATTCTTATAGGATTCAGGAGCCTGCAGGGGAAGAAGTACATGTTTTTAAAGAATACTCAAAATGGAATCTTTAAAAGCATTAAACGTCATTTGTAACTAAAGAAAATTAAAATGATATAAAGATTAAGCTTAACATTGCTAAGGTAGACACTGTCACCTTATTTTATATTTTTTCTGTATTTCCCAAATGTTCTCCAAAGAACATGTATTATCACTTGTATAACCAGGAAAAGCAGTGTTACTGAATGAAATATTTATACCACTACCCTACTGGAAGGAAATGCACCAAACCATCATATGTTAGCAGCAATTATCTCTGGATGGTAGAATTACTGCAATTTTAATGTTCTTTCTTTATAAATACCTGCAGTAGTTAAAACTGCTACAATGAACATATAAAACCAGAAACCAAACCTAGTGCCATTGAGTTGATGCTGACTCATAGCGCCCCCCACTGGTTTTCCAAGGTGGTAAATCTTTAACGAAGTATATTGCCCCATCTTCCTTCTGTGGAGCGGCTAGTGGGTTTGAACTACCAACCTTCTGGTTAGCAGCCAAATGCCTTAGGCACTGTACCACCAGAGCTCCTTAAATATGTAACTATAATTGTGTGTGTGTTAAGTGTATGTTTAGACAGGTTTCTAGTAAGACCCCACGCCCGCCTTCATCCCATTCACACTCACTGGCTTGCCAACATTAGAGTTTATCTCATCATTCACACCCTTTATCCCTCCCAGACCCGTTCCCATGTTCTTGTTAGGTGCCACCGAGTTGGCTCCAGCTCACAGTGACCCTATGTACAAAGGAACGAAACCCTGCCTGGTCCTGCGCCGTCCTCACAATCTTTGCTATGCTCGAGCCTGTCGCTGCAGCCACTGTGTCAGTCCATCTCGTTGAGGGACTTCCCCTTTTTCACTGCCCTCTATTTTACCAAGCATGACATCCTTCTCCAGGGCCTGGTCCTGACAACATGACCAGAGGAGGTGAGACAAAGTCTGGTCATTCTTGCTTCTATTGCGTACACCCTTTTCACAGTATACTAAATCCTTCCAATTTCTGAAACTTTTCTATTGTGGCCTCTGGAATTCCTTCTAGTGAGTCAAATGCAAACTCCCATCCTTTCCCTCTTCCATGAACATTTCTTCCACCCTTCTTTTCTACTGAAACATGGCTCCCCTGAGGGTATTATCCCTCTCTATAGCTGGGAGCTCTGGTAGCGTAGTGCCTAAGGCACTTGACTGCTAACCAGAAAGCTGGCGGTTCAAACCCACCAATCACTCCTCGGAAGGAAGGCTGGGCAATCTACTTCCGTAGTAATACTGCCTCGGAAACCCAAGGAGGGGTCGCTATGAGTTGGGTCCGACTCGACAGTACATAACAACAACATAGCTTTTGTGAAGTGTTGTAATTGTTTTCTCTCCCAAACTAGGTAATGCCATTGGCTCCAAAAGTTGGCTGTGTCCTTGCTCTTCATGGTGTTTTCAGGCCATTCTCTCTCTCTTTCCCCTCCCTGAGAACTCCCAGTTTTGAATCCTGCAGTCGTCATATGAGACCGTAGCTATGTACCACAGTGATGCAGTCTGCATTAGTGTATGAAGAGTCTCACCTCTGGCTTACTGTCCCTCTCCTGGTCTGATTCTGAATGATTTCATCACTCAGGGAGAAGATACTTTGAGGACATTGATTTCTGCTCCTCTAACCATTCCTGACAAATGGTTGTTTGGCTACTAACCAAAAGGTCTGTGGTTCAAATCCACCCAGGGATCCATGGGAGAAAGATCTGGGAATCTGCTCCCATAAGATTACAGCCTAGGAAACCCTGTGGCAATTCTTCTGTCCTGCAGGATTGCTGAGTTGGAATCAACTTGATGGCACCTGATGACAGCTGTGTCAGGGGACTGAGCTTCTGGATGACTGTCTTTTCTCAAACTTTTTAGAAACGAGTCACTTCTAATTTAAATATCTGTATGTCTCTATAATTTAAATAAAATCTTTACTCCCCTGTGACTCAAACAAAACTAAATTTTCCCAAACGTTTCCTCCCCTTTTCAGAAGACTGCATTCAAGTTCCAACAGTAAGTATATAGTTATGCAAAAGAATGGTTAAAATGAGTTACCTGAAACTGCCTCTAAAGTTTAATGTGTAGACAGAAACTAAACATGGCAAGTAAAAATGGTTTTTATGGGCTTGGGTCATAATAATCTCCAAACAAAAGAGAAGTCAATGATAAACACTACATGAGGTCATTTTAAGAAGCAAACATAATCTCTGCTAATAATAGCAAAGATTGTTGTCTCTGTATATTGGCATAAACTGCAAGTAGTTTCCTCTGAATGATTACCAACATTCCACTTACCTCTTCCATAACCAGCTTTGGTGAGGCAACACGGATTGCAATTCCCATGTCTGCCAATTTGTCTAAGACGTCCTGGAAATCTAAGTTACGTCGAGATTTCGCTCGAGAAAGCGCGCGGCCCTAGAATGGAAAAGGATAAACTTCACTTTATAAATGAGAGCTAGATTTTATGTTTGATCCCAACAACTACTAAAATCCTTGGGATTCCTTGATCCATTTAAACTAAAGAGTTAATAAAAAACAATTTTATTCTCTTTATCAACCTTACTGTGTGTCTTTTATTATAAGGAACATCAAATCACATCCTCTTGGAAAATAAACTTCTACTTCTACAATGTATTTGATTCTTAAAATGAAGCTCTGTATGTCTGTAACTATTGTTGAATTAATAATAAACTCAATATAAATGTAATTAATTATCAAGGGTGTCATCACAAAAACTTTGCTCTCTGTGGGGCTTCTCAGTCTCGGCATTACTGATGATTCAGACCAGACAATTCTTTGTCGTGGGGGCTGTTCTGTGCATCCTTGACCTCTACGCAGGGTTACTCCCTGGGTAGATGTTACTCCTGCCATTCTGTAACAAATCAACATTATCTCTGGGGGGGGAGGGCGGGGGAGAGAATTAAAATTAAAAAGCAAAACAAAGACATTGCCAAATGTCACCAGGTTGGGGTAGCACAAAATCCAATTGAGAACCACCAAGGAAAATGAGCAGTTGGGAAGCAGCTGGAAATAAGGATCACAGAAAAAAACAGGTCAAAATGTATGCTCAGGGTCAATACTAAGAGAAAGAGCTCTGGTGGCATAGTGGGTAAGGCATTTGCTTGCTAACCAGAAAGTCAGTGGTTTAAGTTCACCAGCTGCTTCGTGGGAGGAAGATGAAGCAATCTACTTCCAGAAAGATTTACAGCCTTGGAAACTCAATGGGGGTTGCTATGAGTCAGAATTGACCTGATGGCAATGGGTTTGGTTTTGGTTTTATTCTAAGAGAAGGACCTCTGGTGGCACTGTGGTTAAGGCATTGGGCTGCTAACCAAAGGTCAGTGGTTCAAACCCACCAGCTGCTCTGTGGGAGAAAGACAAAGCAGTCTGCCTCTATAAAGATTTACAGCCTTGCAAACCTCATGGGTTCACTGTAAGTCAGTATCGACTCAATGGCAGTGGGTTTTTTGGATCCTAAGAGAAAGTATTCTGGTGGTGCAGGGGTCAAAGCATTCAGCTGCTAACCAAAAGATCAGCAGTTTGAATCCACCAGCCACCCCATGAGAGGCCATAAAGCAGTCTGCATCAGTAAAGATTTATAGCCTTGGAAACCCTATGGGTCAGTTCTACTTTGTTCTACAGGTCGCTGTGAGTTGGAGTTGACTTGATAGCAGTGGGTTTGGTTTGGTTTTTGTCCTAAGAGAAGACTATTGTAGACAGTTTCTATTTCCCACTCCAGTACCAGCCAAGCACTATGATGACTTAGGACAGGGGATAGCAAACTACAAGCTCAAAGGACAAATCTGGCCCACAAGCTGATTTTGTAAAGAGTGTATTATTGGAGTAGCCATGTCCATTTCTGTCCTGTCTACAGCTGCTTCCTTACTACAACAGCAGAGTAGCTGTGACAGAGACTGTATAACCCACAAAGTTGAAAATACCGATCACCTATCCCTTCACAGAAAGTTTGCCGATTCCTGGCTTAGAAGATAAATGGCAATGCACTGACATGGGTGTGCAGACCAGTGTCGGTTCTGCTTTGCAAACAGGGCACGGCTCTCAGACCGTAAGTGGATCTACCCAGCAGGAAGGAGGGAATCATGCCGAGGATGCTCCAGTGAATCACTGAGCTCTGCATGGACGTACATACGTGCAGGTACATTGTACCAGTTGTCAACAGTTAACAGTAAGCTCAGCCAATGTGACAATTTTCTAGTCTGGATTTTTTGGATTTACAGAGGTGAAGAACAGACCATAGCTCTATAGGCAGGAGATAGGACAGAACCCATACCTCTACTTTGTTAATGTTCAGTCAGGTACATTTACCTGTCCAAATGCAAACTAATTACTATGCTGAAGAGATCACTGTTAGTCAGCTTCCATTCTCCTTACCGCTCCATGGCAGGTGGTTCCAAAGGTTTCAGTCATGCCTTGTTCAGTACCAGTAAGAACATAACTGCAGGTTCCCATGGTGCCACCAATGAGCACAGGCTGTCCAGTGAGCTGAGGATGCACACAAATCAAACGTGTCAGACTTTAGAAAAGCCTGAGTTTTAATACCTAAGATTTAAATTTCTACTTGCGTTGTAGGAGAATCTTGGGCCTCCAAACAGTGCCTCCTATAATTTTGTATAGGAGCTCTGGTAGCATAGTGCCTAAGGCACTTGACTGCTAACCAGAAGGCTGGCAGTTCAAACCCACCAGCCATTCCTCGGAAGGGAGGTTGGGCAATCTATTTCCCTAGTGATACCACCTCGGAAACCCAAGGAGGGGTCGCTATGAGTTGGGTCTGACTCGACGGTACATAACAACAACATAATTTTGTATTAAGAGATTATTTTCATTCTGTGAAACTGGGAAGGTGGAGAGGGAGTGATAAAGTGAAGACCAGTAAAGATGCAGAAGGTGGACTGAATTTAGGAGCGAAGTGAAATTCATACTCGGTGAAGAGTTACTCTGAGGACCATCATGGGCAAAGCACTTGGCCTCGGCATTCTCATCTATGAGGAAACAGGCTAACAGGCCTTCTAACTCTACAACAGTCAGACACCAAAAGGATAAGAGGAATTAGACAGACAGACAATTCAAGATTAATCTTAATCTTGCCTTTGTCATACTCGAGACTCTTTCAATAATTCAAAGGCCTTAAAGAGATGATCTTAATTCATTTTAACACAGTAAAATATATCCCAACAGCACTTTTTAAAATAGCATACTGCAAACACCAGTGCTACGGGGGGGGGACAGTCACTGCTTCAGGGAAGAATGGGAATCATGGTTCCTACGGGGGACATTCTGTTTCCCTAACTGCTGCTTTTGTAAATTCATCACCTGTACAACTATCCAAACCATGTCCCACTGCTTCAAACCACACAAGCAGGTCTCCGTACTTGGTAATCCACAGCAATGAGGGGGTGATGAGGAGGGAAAGCCCGGGTGGACCCCTTCCTGTGCACCAGCAGTGTCCGCTCCTTTCCGTCCACCACATGCTGCTCTACTTTTGCAATATTGTGAGAAACATCATAGATCACATGGAGGTCCAAGTCATCAGGGGTTGTGTTGAAGACCTTGGCAAAAGCCTATGAAAAAAAGCTTACATTAAAAGCAGCCAGAACCAGCTCTTTATAGACTTTATCTTAGTGACTTTAGTAGTCTGTTCCTGAAGGCAGGGAGGTGCTTAAGAGTTCAAAAATACTTTATTGTAAATGTTTGCATAAAAGACAAAAACTGCCTTTTAGACCATATAGTCCATTCTTGGCTCTAAAAATTCCAACTCTGACTGAAAAGCTGCCTAGCTATTCTTGATCCCAGTGCCTTCCGAATCTCAATGAATGGCATCTCTATCTGCTTCACTGCTTAAGGCAAAATTCTAGGAATAATCTTGGGTTCTTTCTCTCATGCTCCACTTAAAATCCTGCCGATTTAATTTACAAAGACTAAACGCTCCCAGTATTCTAAATATTTTATTACATAAATTCCTAGAGCAAAACCCCACAGGCTTTGAGTACACTATATCCAAATGACATATTACACTGGGTAAATCTGCTGCATAAAAACCTCTTTAAAGTATTTAAGAGTAATGTCACTTTGAAGGCTAAGGTGTACCTGACCCAAGCCATGGTATTTTCAATTGCCTCATACGCAAGTGAGAGCTGGACAATGAATGAGGAAGACTGCACACTTGAATTGTGGTGTCGGTGAAGAATACTGAATGTACCATGGACTGCGATAAAAATGAACAAATCTGTCTTGGAGGAAATACAGCTGGAGTGTTCCTTAGACGTGAAAATGGCAAGACTTTCTCTCACATGCTTTGGTCATGATGTCAGAAGGGACCAATCCCTGAGGAAGGGTATCATGGTTGGAAAAGGAGGGGTCAGTGAAAAAAGGGAAGACCCTCAAGGAGGTGGACTGGCACAGTGACTGCAAGGATGGACTCAAGCACAGCAATGACTGTGGGATGGTGCAGGACCGGGCAGAGTTTTGTTCTGCTGGACACAAGGCTGCTATGAGTCAGAGCCAACTTAACAATACCTAACAGCAACATGTGTTAAAGCACTTCATTAACTTCATCACTACTAACTAGGGATAAAAGAGCAACTTCAAGGGCACCTGGCGGGTTAAAAAGGTCATGGAGGAGCGGTTGACCCAGGCATAGTTCCCAGCTGCAGCCATTCCCTTCAGGTAGTCCTGACCCTCTGCAGAAGCGATTCGTGCACAAGCCAACTGACGGTCATTGACTATAATCTTGTCTCTCTTCATGGCTTTTTCCATAGCTACCAGTGCATCTGCAATAAGAGAAACAGACCCAATCAGCCAGTTTTCCCTCCAGAATTCATATTTATTACAGAAAGGGAGGCTACCATTAAACCCACTCGACAACAAAAAAAAGAAACATACAACTTTCTCTTTAAAGTATTTCTGAGCTTCTCCATTTGCTTAGTCAAGATCTGGTTTCTTAACAATGTTCTCAGTCTGAGTCCTATGACATGGGTCCTATGACATGGGGGTGAGAAAGAACATCTGTCCTCCAGTACCTCTTAGCCTTCTAAGGTGAAGACTAAGATGTGTACATAAACAGCAACAACCCGGCCTTAGCTGCCTCATTGCTACATGTCAAGGGATAAGAACAGAAACAGTGAAACATATTTCATTACCATCACTGTTTTTATTTATTTTTATTTTTTAATGTAGTGCTTTAATATAAAGGAACTGAAGATAAGTTGTCAGATCTTAGATTTTCTGTAGGAAAATCAAATCCATAATAAAGTGCAGAGGTACTTCGGAGAATATACAAAAGCACTAGTCTGTGCTTCCCATATTTGCTAAATATTCTATAGGGTCAGGCTGACATAAACTACCAAATTTTCAAAGGATGAAACACACATGTAAGACTAAATTATGACATGAGATTTATTTAAGTTTATAGTAATTTCTACGTATTGATATAATTTTTTGTATATTCCTAAATCCTTTCATATACTGTTTCATGCTGTTTTGATCACAAGTGTCCCTTGTGTGACTGTCCAAATTGCAAAGCCCAGATCAAATTCTGTGTCAATGAAGCTATGGTAGTTAAGTTTGTGTGTCAACTTTGCTGGGCCTGGTTGAGTGGTTGGGCAGCTGGATGTAGTATTCCCCATGATGGGACTGGTAATCAACTCCATGGTGGAATCTGTGAGCAGCTGAGTAGCTGCCGTAGGGATGTGCTCTGCTTCCTGTATATAAGGAGAGGCCGTGGGAAATGGTCTCTAAGCTTATGGCATGCATGAACCCTGCATGTAGCTGTGTCATAGTTCAGCAGCCTGCCAAGCTCTGTTGACCCTGGGACTTATAATGGACTTGAATTAATGGCCTGCCGTGTGGTTTGGTAATATCAGGACTGTGTGCCTTTTTACTTGTCAACCTTGGGTGTGGCAGCCTCAGCAGCCAGCAGCTGTCTGAGTGAAGAAAATCTGTAGCTTCAGTGGGCTGGGAGTAGGAGGCAGAGCTGAAGCCCAAGGTTGAGGGGCTTTCACCCAGCCCCTAGAGCCTGGCACTTTGAACTCAGACTTAAAGCCTCCAAACTCTAAGAGAATAAACTCCTGTTTGTTCAGCCATCACATTTGTGGTATATTCCTGTCAGAGCAGCAATAGGTGACCAGAACAGAAACCACCTCTGAAATCTTTTCTTATGTTCTAGCTGTCTCTCCTATAGTTCTAGTTTTTACTTTCTATCTTTTCTTTTCAATATACAGGACTCAGGAGACAATCTGAGAGCACAGTTCTATCTGAATCACTGATCTACCGTAACACAGTCTTACACAGTAGGTACCCAATACACATTGGCTGAAGGAATGTCTACTTCATCAACTCCACGATACTAAGCATTTTCTCGTTGTTTTAGTAACCGTGATGGTAAGCAGAAAGAGCCTAAGGCATCTGACTGCTAACTAGAAGGTTGGCAGTTCAAATACACCAGCCACCCTGCAGAAGGAAGATGGGGCAATCTACTTCTGTGAAGATTTACTGCCTAAGAAACCCAATGGGGGTTGCTATAAATTGGAATCGACTCAATGTCAGTGCGTTTTTTTAAATGGTAAACATAACAGTAACTGGAGCCAACATTTATCGACTATTTACTGAATGTCAGGCGCTGATTTAAGTGTTTTCATTTATGTTACTTTGTTTAACCTCTCACAACACTGTATGAAATAATTAGGTCTAGAATATACCTGTGGCAACTTGGTGGCCCAATCCCCTGCTTCCACTGTGGATCATCACACACACTTGTCCCTTATGGTCGATGCCCATTTTCCTTGCCGCGTACTCATTGAAAATCTCATCCACAACTTGGATTTCTGCATAATGGTTGCCTGCTCCCAGGGTCCCCAACTGCAAATTAAGAATGTCTCATAAAATGGCTTCTACTGCAGCTTTTTTTTTAAATATTCATTAAAAAAGCACACAGTTATTATTATAAAAGCAAGCCAACAACAAAAATCCAGAGTGTTTTAGATAACAAAAATATTTGTAAGCCTCAGAAATGCTTCACTCATTTAAAACAATATTCTACACAACGAAACTAATGTGGGCAAGCTCCTCAAGTTAATTATTAGAAATCTGCTTACAGGATGTATTTACATGTAAAAAACGCTTCACAAACCAAAATGATGACAACACAGGTCATTATGTGGCTCTTAGGACACTTCAACTGACATGACGAGAAGGTCAAATTTTGGGATCCACTCTGGTGATGCCATCTCTTAGAAAAGGTCCAAGTTCAGATAGGGTTTCTTAAATGTCTATGAGTTCAATGACGCTCATCAATACCTACCACTGAAAAAATATATCTTGTAACTGAGGCTCTGCATCCTGGGTGGCACAGCAGTTAAGTGCTTGGTTGCTAACTGAAGGGGTGGAAGTTCAAGTCTACCCAGAGTTACTTTGATCGAGTTTTAAAAAACGAGCCATTAAAAACCCTAGGGAGCAGTTATACTTCAACACATGGAGTCACCACAAATCAGAACTGACTTGATGGCAACTGGTTTGGTTTGGTTTGCTTTTGGTTTGTAACTGAGCCCAAAAGATCACTTAGAAAACCAGACTGCCAGGCTGAGAGAGTCTTTAGAGGCCACCTAGTATGGCGATCATACTATAATGTCAGCTGAGAAACTAGACCCAGAGGCAGATACAGGCCAACATCAGTGAATTAGTGGCAAAGCCATGACAATGAGCTGCACATTTCAAACACCTGATGTGTTCTTAGCTCATGGGCATATACACTGCCAAGTATCTCTTTCCATCTCAGATGGCAGAGAGCTCTGGGCCAAGTCCATACACTGTCTAAGCATGTACACATCTAATTCGGCCTAAGTAGTAAAACTTGTATCATATTCCATCCCTCACCATCCACTTCTAACTCATGATTATCTTGCTTCATTTTACAAACATTTCCAAGCCCCTGGTATCTTTTTAGAATAAGAATCAATCATAAACAACAAAAAGGTTTATTCCCCTCACCCAGAAACCTTCATCCATTTATTTATTTATTGTGGTGAAGACATGTACCTAATAAAACATCTACCAATGAAAATGTTTCTTCTATGTAGTTCAGTGACATTGATTACATTCACTGTGGTGTGCAACCATTATCACTATCCTCTTCCAAATTATTCTACAAATTTGGGTTTTTTTGGGTTCATTGTGCAAAAAGACCTGGGGATATGCCTATTAAAGGGAAAAGAAAATGTTTTTTCCAACAAAAATAACGTGTTGCTCTCCACGGAGAGTTACCTGAGGAAGGCCTCTCTTCTTGGCCCTGGCAGAGACCTTGTTGGGGTCAGCCTGCAGCATCCTTCCATACTCTTCACAGTGCTCCTTGTCTTCAGCCCAGGCATAGCCTTCTCTCAAAGACCAGTCCACACCCATCTCCAAGGCCTCCTCCAAGTCTCTGAAGCAAGAAAGAAGGTGCTAGTCATTCCACAGCAAAGGGAGGTCAAATCCTAAGGGTGCCCACATCTCCAAAGGGCAGAGCAGAAGACTACAGTTACTGACTCAGCTCCTATGGACCAGGTATTGTGTTAGGGGCTAGATTTAGAGTTCATGTGCTCAATTAACTCTAGTTTATTAAGTGAAGCAGTTTCATAAATAATTGCGTATCATTTATGCCCTTACGGAACTCTGTCTTTGTGAGGGAGTTACACATAAATAAATTGTAATATAAGATGGAAAATGTTGTATTCAAAACCAAAAACTAAACTCACTGC